GCCAGGGTGACAGAGTGAGACTCCACCTCAAAAAACAAACAAACAAACAAAAACAGATAATTTCTTGTATTATCTTTACTAGGTTTTTGATTACCTAGGAAATCCGAACTTTAAAAGAGTTAAGGTTTTTACAGCCTTAACTGTATGTAATTTTCTGTATTGCTTTATGAAGTATTTTGGTTGTCAGTCTGTTTAAATAAATATTATTTTACAGTGATCTGTGAGTTAGTTTTGATCCAGCGTTTTGAAATCTTTGATATCTTTGACAAGCTTCCTCAGAATCAAAATCCTAAATTAAATCTTTATGACCCAGAATTAACTTGGCTTTTTTTCCCTCCCTACTTGATGCTTCCAAGTGCAGAAACTATTCTTGAGTACTTTCATTTCTTTTTTTTTTCTTTTTTAGGGGAGAGCGCAAACACAGTTCCCCACTACCATAAACTGTGCAGTCGAGTTTCCCACATTTGGGGAAACCACAGGGGTCAGCACATCTAGAGTGCAATGGATAAGCCTCACTCTGGGAAAACCCACATTGGTGATTATGGTATCTCCTCTGCCAGGTAAGTATAGAGTACTCTTATTTCTTATGACAATAAAATTACTTACATAAGTTCGACAAAAATCTGCTCTCTCTTTATAAGCAGGATATAAATAAAAGCATTTATATTATTAAGGCTTTGACTGAAATATTATATTTGAGAATGTGCATAAAATGCCTGGCTTCAAGAGTTCACAAACTTGCAGTCAGTGGGTAAAAACTGTCACTTCCTGGCAGGCTCAGGAAGCTTAAGACTTTAAGGACAACCTAAAGTCTGACTTGGTTCAGTTTCCTAGTCTCAGTAGGTTTTTAAACCTGAGAGTCCCATGTGATCAATGTAAAGAGAAAAAGGCATGTTGCTAAATGAAAACTATAATACACCTGTTATTGGATGGTAGCCCTGTGCATTATTTCCAAGTTCTTGTTATCTAATTATAGACTGGGTTAGAGCCCAAATTCTCCTTATTTCCTACAACTCTTCAACTGAAAACAAAAACTGCTCTATTTCTGTAGCCCTGTAAGCTGAAACTAAATGAATTTTAAGAAACAAGCCTTGTGCCTGATGTACAGGCCACACAAAAAGTTCACCAAACCACCCAATGCCGTGAACAGAGACTTTCAAACTACAAACCAGGAAGAGAAGTTGATATTTTCATGCTGTAGACAGCAGATCCCAAGATATCAGAACAAGACTCCACGTCATCATGAGACTCTTATCCCACTTAGTGTGCTACCTTTTTTCACTTGACAGGATAATGATGTAATTAAAATTTCAAAATCAATAGCTTCTGCTGATAACGTAACAGAACCTAACCTAAGAAATCCTTTAGTCTCCACTGGTTAATTAAGAAAAATGTGCTATTGCTAATACTGCATGCTGTACATGGATAAATTCCTCTGGGAAAGTTGAGATTCATATACACAAAACAAGAAAACAGGCCATATGGTTACAACAGGTCTCTCCTAATTCCTTCTGGTCATTTAATTTACTCAGTTAGTTGTCTTTAAGTCTAGGTTCATGACTCAAAACCATCATGCAAACTGGAATTGTCATATTACTATTAATTTTACTTTGCATTTTCCCTGTTTAACCTTTGCATTTGTTGTTTGCTAAATTTTTGCAGAAGTATAACTCCTAACAAAGTAATACTGGTTCAGAGAGCAGAAAACTATGAAACAGACACAATTAAACTTAATAATGAACTTTATTTAGACTTAGCCTGAGAACCACTCCCTTCAAACCTTTGTGGTTCAAATGTGTCCAAAAGGATTTTGACACTGACTTCTAGTCACCAATCACTGCCCTCAATGTGGAACAAACCAGCAACCCGGATGGGTCCATTCTGACACCAAAGGACATCGAAACCGAACCACAGAATGATTGATCAGTGATGCTTTCTGAGAAAGATCTTGATAAAAAGGAGAAATGTGAAAGTTTTCAGAATCAAAGTGTTAAAAAATAAACAAAAAACTGACAAATAGAACCAGGAAAGGCCACAAAGAGAGGAGTCTCTTGCTTGTATACCTGATAACAAAAGCTATCACAAAAGGCTGCAAAATTCACAATCTTTCACAAAGGCCATCACAACCTTACACACAAAAAACCACAAGGATATCTATGCCCATCAACTACCTGTCCATCCTTGGACCGACATCACCCTCATTATTGATCTTTGTTGCCAAGGAAATTATTTCAAATGATTATATAATCCTCCTCATATTTTCTTTTAAAAAGCTTCTACTTCCTCTACCTCCCTGAATACACATATAGTTTACTAGGCAGGCATATTTCCATTGCAAGCTCTATTCTCAAGTAAATATCATCTTCTTTTAGAGTCTCTCTATGATTTAGGTTAACATAAGAATAACTCCCCATTCTCCCTTGCCCCCAGGCCCTGGCAACCACCATCCTACTTTCCGTTTCTATGAGTTTGACTAATCTGGATATATCCCATTTGTGGAATCATACAGTATTTTCCCTTTTGTATTTGCACTCGGATGTTTTACACTTTTAATTAACGTTAAGTCTTCTTGACTTCACACCATTTAGCCTCGATTTTGGTTGGAAAATAGCAGTGAGGTGAGGCTTGGGTAGCAAAAATGGCAGGCCTCTGGGAAGAGTCTGGGGTATAAAAACAGGTTCCAGTCTGTTTCCAAAACCCTGATTATCTGCCATCTCTGTTTCTCTCTTCTGGTGCTGAGGGTCAGAGGAGCCTGGAGCAGAGTGTGAAGAGTGTCTTCAGGATGTGAAGTACAGGAGCCTTTCTGAGACTGAGTTTGACTCACTCATCAACAGATGACAAACCTAAGACCTAAAGAAGAGAGATGACCTGCCCAAAGTCACACGACCCACGTATATGGGTGAGTGTATGGCAGCGGGGGTGGGGGAAGTATAGCTATACATAGCTGATGTGGCAAGCTCCCTCCACGCAACATGGCTCTTAATAGGCGTTCATGCTTTTGTTTAACAAAGTGATAGTCATTTAATGTGAAAGCCCACAAAAATATGTTGAAACATTACTGTCTTTCAAAACATAGTCACCAGTGCAGGCTGACTCAGAATGCTCTATCCTGGTGGTTTTGAGGAAGGGGACAGAGGGAGCACAAGGTGTAGCCTGAGACAGAGAGTAGGTAGAAATGGAGAGAGTGTCCCTAAACTGATGGGATTAGGATCTGATGCGATTACAGGCATTTTTTTTTTTTTTTTTTTTTTTTA